CCCAGGACTCTGTTTCTCAAGCTTGGGCGTTGGAAGACGTGTGGACTTGCTGGGGAATTCTGGGAGTTGAAGTCCACACGTCTTCCAACGCCCAAGCTTGAGAAACAGAGTCCTGGGGATTTGCCTGCTCCGTATTCTCCGGAGGGGATGCGAAGACCTAGATCTCTGGAGAAGGCTTTGATGCTGGGAGAGGTGGAAGGACAGAGAAGACGAGGATGACTAACAGCCAGGGGGATGGGCTCTGGTACAGTGAGTTGGGGGCACTGTTGGAAGACCTGGAGGACTAAGTTAGGGACACAGCACCCTGGAGAAAACCTATCTATGCAGGTGCTAAGAGTCAACGCGGGCACATAAGCAGTCAACCAACCAGTCAATAGAACATAATACTGGGAAAGGTGGAAGGAAAGTGAAGAGGACGACCAGCAGCAAGGGGGAGGGACTCAGGGACAGTGGCGATGGGGGCACCATTGGAAAACCCGAAAGATCAGGTTGGAGAAAATCTATGCGGTCGCTAAGAGTTGAGACTCACTTGAGGGCACATCCTCAATCGCTCAACCGGTGGAAAGACCCAGCTCCTTGGAGAAGTCCATCGTGCTGGGAAAGGTGGAAGGAAAGAGAACGGGATGACCAGCAGCAAGATGGACGCAGTTATGGTGACTATGGGTGCACCCTTGGAAGACCTGAAGGTTAGGGATAGATCGTGGGGGAGAAAATCTGTGTGGTTGGTAAGAGTCAACACTGACTTGGTGGCATGTAATTAATATTCCCTGGGAGTTATGGACCTTCCTGGGCCCCCTTAAGGGATTCGGAGGGGATGGGTGCAATTTTCATGCCATTCCATCTCTCTCCCCTGTTCAACCTTGCAAGACAGAGCTGCTCTCCCGGTTTCAGGGCAGCCAGACTCTTTTAGCTATGTGCACGTTGGGCCTGTTACATATGGCATCTCCTGTGATCAACCGAATAAAAACACCTGCTCCTTCCAGGAAAGAAAAGACTGCTGAAGGAAGAGAGAGAGGAGAGTTTCTAAAGAGGTTACTCTTCTCAACCTCTCATCGTTGGGCTTTCTGCAGGCATCTACGGCTTGGTCCACCGCACGTACCATCTTCTTCCTCTTGACTTTTCACTGTGCCCCAACGGAATGGAGTATCTGATGTTGGTTCGCTGGCTGGCACAGGTCTTGCCTCTAGAACCAGTGCGCTAACTGCAACCAAACGGGCCTCTTTTTTTTTGCAAAAACCAGCATTTAATGAGTCCACGTTGCCCATCGAACACTTCCTTAGCTGGCTAGCGCTCCAAGCATCTTGCTGCTTCTGTTTTGGTGTCGTAAAGCTTGATCATCTCACCCAAGAAGGTGGCTTGACTGCTGAAGCAACTCCAACCGCCTGCTTGCAGCAGGAAGCTAACTCAGGCATCTTTTTTCAGCTTGGTCCTATGCCACATTAGCACAATTTAAGAATGACTGGTCCAAAAAAAAAGGCTGCAGAGAAAGAAGGAAATTACATCTGACTAACTCTGTTTTCCTGGCAAGATTTCAGAAGTGGTTCTCCTCCTTCCTAGGGCTGAGAGAGAGAGAAACGGGCCCAAGGTCGCCCAGCTGGCTTCATGCCTAATGCGGGACTAGAAGTCACGGTCTCCCAGTTTGTCGCCTGATGCCTCAACCATGACACCAAAGCATCTCTCTCTGGCAAACTGGCATCAATCAAAAGAAAAGGTTTTATTGGCTTCAGTTCCGCTCACACACCGCACAAAGCCGTGGTTTTTTTGGATTAACAACGGGCTGCATTCACGTGACGTGCTAATCTGCCACCCAGCAAACCACCACGGCTTGGTGCAATGCCTGAATTTTTCCCTAGAGCTCCGTCTAAAGCAAGAGCTTCTACTGTTAGCCAAGATGGTTTAGGCTGCGGTACTCCCATCCGCATTGAAGCCGGCCTAGCCAGAGCCTCTGCTAGCCCAGCCAAAGGGCGTTTGGGAAGGTTAATGCTTGCGGAGTCAAAAACAGGGCCAAATGTGAATGTCGCTTTAGTTTCTGGTCTTCGAGCAGGAAGTTTTTAATCACAGGGCACCTGCTCCTGAGAAGCAAGCAGAAGCCCTGGTTCTTTACTGAAGTACAAGAAATTCAAGCGGTTTGTTCGCACAGCATTTGACGTTTTCCACAGCTGCGGGAAGCGAAGATCTAGCTCGACTAGTCCAAGACTGGTTGTACATGCCAGGTTGGGGGGGGAAAAGCAAACTTTTTTTTCCTCTTCCTCTTAGAATAGGCCAAAAAAAAACCAAACAAAAAGAGCATTACAGCCATATGACCCCTTAGGTGGTTGCTGAATTCATGACCTTACGGGCTGCCAGAGGCATTGCGAACCACACAGCAGACACCGGTTTGGTTTAGGTTTATAATTGGACTTCCATAATATTCATGATTAGCACAAGATCCATAGCCATAAATTATACATGGTTATCTAATTTTAAGTACATAAAATGTTAACGATATAAGTTCTCTGACGAAGTGGCACCAAGGTCGCACATTTCAGTTGGCGTTCTCGATCGGGGAGAAGAAGGCAGGTGCCCTGTCTCGCGGAAGTCTGGCACGGCCGAGAAAAAAATTCATCTGAAGAACCGTCGCCAGCCCAGGGTGCCCGGAAGGCTTAGGGACTCCGTCCAAATCCCCACCGTGATAGAAGCTTTCAGATTTGAAGATACGAGCAAGCAAAACGATACGCCGCTTTCGGCACGGTTCTCCTTTGGGTCAGGGCCATCCTGGTTGTACCAGACACCTCCAGTGCTTACGGCTCTCCAGGCACACGGATACGTTGATGTTGCTCGTAAACCTCAGTAGTTGCATTTGGGTTTTCCTTTTAAATACCAGGACCCCTTGGATGTGCTCGCCCTACGTACTACAGAAAAAAACATCAGGGAAATATCTGCGCTGAGATAGGATCCAATTTATTCTCCAATCAAGAGTTTCAAAATCTACTCCAAGAAGCATAGAAGCGTTTTCCCCCCTTCTCTTTCTCTCTCAGTGGCGTTCTACCAAATCTACTACTCTTTCCTATCCTACATACTTAAATTTCCCTTTTTTTTTTTTTTGCCAGGCAGTTTGTACAAACAAACAGAGGGAAAGGAGGAAGAGGAGGAGGAGTGCCACATATGATTTTCGAAACACATTCCTCCCACCAGGGACTTTCCAAAGCTAATTCCACATTATTCACGTGGCTGCATCATCTGTTACAGTACTTTTTAAGCATTAACCACTTGGTACCACCCAGAAAAACAACTGGGCTAGCAAAAAAGATTCTGCAGGAGGAGGGGAAAGCAACAGCAACTTCCTGCTTCCTTTTCCTTGACATCTTCTCCCCCCATCCCCAAAATCGCCTCCTGGCCTCAAGAAGTTATTGCTGTCCTGCTGATGAAGCAGAGGTGCCACCTAAGTTTTGAAGAGAGCTTTCCAAATGTCGGTACCGAAATCAAGACCAGGAAAAAAAAAACCAAAAAGGGGGTGGGGGGGAGCTGCCTTGTGGAAATTGAAATGTAACAGGACTTAGCAATAAATAACAGCGTCCTTTAGATGTCTCTGAACCACGGGGGGCACACAAAGGCAGTCAAGCCAACAGAGGAAGTTGTCTGGTGCCTTCTCAGATGAAAGAGGAACACGGGACGGGAAGAGAAGAGGACCAGTGAAAAGGTCTGTTGCAGTGCAAGTTACATATTGAATCCGTAAACTGGTGGCTGGGCGAATCCTGGTGCTGCTGTGTATCCATATGGAAAGTTGGCCTGTGGAGGGACGGTGCTGGGGCCAGCTGTGAGCATCAGTTGCTGGCCTGCAAGGAGATAGAGTGGTTGGTTAGAAGAAAAGCCACCTCCCCGAGACACTTTCGTGTATCCCAAGCGAGGCTAACTAAAATAATCGAACTCAGTGTTTCTCAACCCTGGCGACTTTAAGACCTGTGGACTTCAACTCCCAGAACTCCCCAGCCAGCACGGCTGTCCACAGGTGTTAAAGTCGCCAAGGCTGAGAAACCCCGATCTAACTAAACTGCAGAAAACAAGCCCAGTGACACATTTCAAGGGAATGCATGTCTTTTGGAGGGGGTCTCCAAGACGGAAAGAAAAGGGGAACGTAACTTTCCAGTGTTGACCCCCAAACCAATGCCTCTGTTAAACTCTTCAAAGCTGAATTAGGTATTCATTCACTGCAATGTTGTCTGCTCACTCAGAGGCCTAAGTGGTCATATGCCACACTGAGCTGTGGTTTGATTGGATCATGTTTGTTGGACGGATTCATTCATAACGCTCAGCCAATTCCAACCAATTCAAATTGTGGCTTGGCTTTCTAGGGGAACGAGCCGATCAACGCAGACCTTCAAGGGAATCAGGCAAACGTCTTTCCCCGCACCGGTTTCCAGGTCCTTTGAAAGGAGCATGTCAAGGATAGAACATAGGGAATTCCATGTGTGTTGAGAACCAGTATAGTCTGCTGGTTAATATCAAATTAGGACTAGGAGTCCCTGTTTCAGATTTCCACTCAGCAGTGATGGTTACTGCGTGATGTGTTTGCCACTCTCATCTCTCAGCCTAACCAGCCTCACCAAGTTGTTGTGAGGAACCAAAGAGCGGGAGGGGAGATAGAACCATCTAAGCCTCCTTGGGCAAAAAGATGAACTATAAATGGTTCTGTACTGAGTCTTTGAGATCTAAACTGAAGAAGAGACACCCATGAAGACATCGAGAATTAGTCTGGGTGTTCCATTCAAGGACCAAATTAAACGGTCCATTTCCAAACAATGGGAGGGCATCAGAAACGGAGCAGCTTGAAGGAATGACTACCATAACATGGGAAAATCATTCTGAAGTTCCAGTACATCTTTCTCTTCCAGCTGGCACAGGAGCAAGTAGGGTTTGCTTTGGGTATCTAATGTCACATCTACCACAGACGGAAAACTAGATTAAGGGAATCTTTAATGTTAAGATACAATATAGAACATCTGCAGGGCCAACATTTGAACAAACTGCAGTTAGATCTGTTAGTTATTCATCCCCAGCCTAAGCAGATAATTAATTTTGCCACACGTCAAACACATATGGGGGTTAACACTACACATGCCTCATGCAGGGAATCCCCGTGTAAACACCATGCCCGCCAGCACACTGACCTCGCCATCAGGAACTTCCTTTAATGGAGAGACCTAGAATGCAATTGTCAGTAAAATCTACCTTCTGCCAAATGACCTGAGAGAGATTTTATGTTGGTGAGAAACACTGTTTTATGTCCTCAAGCAAAAATTTCTCCCCCCAGGTTTCATTTCCCAATATCTCACTCCTTGGAGAAGGAAAGTTTTCTCTGTTTTCATGGCAACCTGTCCAGTGTTGCAGTGTAGGTGCTGGACTAGGAGCAGGGAGACCCAGAATCTTTTCCACCCTCAGCTCATAGAAGCTCCCTGCGTAATGGGCCAGACACTCATTCCCAACCCAACCTGAATTATAGGGTGGTGGTTATGGAGAAAGAGGTAGGTGGACAGAGGACTATGTGTGCCACCTTGAGCTCCTGAATGAAAGGCAGAATATAAACATAATAAATAAGTACATATATAGGCCAAAAAAGTATCAGAGGTAGCGTAAGGAATATTCATTGCATCCTGAAATATAGGGTGTACCAAAAGCCAGGCCCCCCATAGATCTTTTATTATATAAATTACATTAAATGTTCAAATTGGTTGCCACTTTCTTCTAAACACTTCCTTACTCGTTTGACACATGACCTTTGAACATTCCTAAGTACAGTAATATTTTCTCTGGAAAAAAATAAAATAAAACATATTGTGATTGGCCTATGGGGTCTGATTTTTGGTACACCTGTATTGTAGTTCTGGAAGAGTACATCATTCTCAGGAGAGATGGTGTTTTCTTCTGAAACGCACCCAGTACAACGTACAATTTTCTGATTTGGAGCAATTTGGGATGGGGGGAAATACATTTTGCTGGAATGGGTCACGCATATAATTTGCTCAGATGTTCTAGGCATAGGCTCTACCCCAAAATCCAGCCTTCGTGCGCTTCATGATCTTGAAAAAAATCAAAAGGTTTGTTAGGCACGTGAGTCCAGGGAACTTGTTCAAAAAATCCTTGAGGTGTAAACCCCGACAAACGCAGTAAGGCTTACTCAAAGTAAGCCAGAACTGTGTCAATGGCTGGCTTTTAAAAGCTTAGGGAAAAATAAATGGAGCTAGCTAGATTTCTTCTAGAAGGCTGCTTATTTGTAATCTTGAACCACGTAGGAATTAGGAGAGGGAGCGCAGCAGAGGCAGAAGAGTTTAAGACTAAAAAAAGTCATCTAAACTTACTGAAGGCCTATGAAACAGAAAAAAAAAATTCCACCTACCAAATACTATTGGAGTGGGTTCTGTTACTTGTTCCTCTTCTTTCCTTAGGCTTTCTGAAGCATCGAGCTTATCCACCTAAGTTATAAAGTGAACAGGACACGTTCATGAAGGACCCTGAGACCGCCTGGGTTTGGTGACCCCCCTTATCTTTCCCCAGAAGCCCCAAATTCTAAGGCAGTTTCCATTTCAGCTGCTTCTGTTTTAGAGGTCCCGGGGATGGTACAACCTGGTATCAGGCTGACTCCCTGGAAGTCAACCGCCAAGGGGTGGATTGGCTTAAGATCGTGACTGGCACGAACAAGGATGAGAAAGTCAAGGTGGCACGATTGACAAGGGGGAGCCACAACTTTGATTCACCTTCACTTTCAGTACGTCCCAAGATAGGAACTGCAAGAACCAAGGACTGCAGGAAGGAAAGTTGGGGGGCCTAGGGAGCAGCTTTATAAGGAGGAGAGCAGATTGTGGGTGCTCTTGCGAAATGGTAGCCAAGCGGGTTAAACCAGCTGTCTACAAAACCGATTCCATGATGCAGATGGCCAAACACAAACCGCTCGTTTATCAACAGGTAAACCAGCAAGATTCCCTCTCGAGACCTTTCCAATGGGAAGAGCTAAAGCTGGTGGAGCAAGAATCCAGGGAGATGCATTTGGCAAACAAGGAAGGGATGGGAGAGAGGTTCAAGGTCAGAAAAAGAACAGCCCAAAGCCTGTTGACTCAAAAAGGCAGAGGAAGAAACCCAAGATCTGAACCTTGGTGGTGACACACAGTTATCCTGCGTGCTGCTAGATGCAGAATGTGGCGTCCTCGTCCTCTGCAGCTAAGCTACTTCTCAAACCTTTTCAGGTCTGCTTGGGAATTCTGCTACTAGCATGGCAGCGTCCCATTTAATTTTTTTAGGCTTAAAAATATTTTAGTTCAGGTGGGGTCTGGCAAGCACAAAAGGAGTTACCCACGGGTCCTTGGCCAAGTCAGCTTCCTATGATCATCAAAGGGTTCCTGTTTATTTAGCCATGAGAATGACTTCCTCCCTCCATGTCTCTCTGGCCCCATGATGAGGGTACCCTATATTTCCCTATAAAGTCACTTCCAAGCTGAGAACTCAAATCTTGCTCGTTAACATGAATGTTTGCTGGCTTTGCCTGCAAATACAGGTGTGCTTTGCCACTGTCCTCTACGATGTTTAACTCAGCACAGCTGCAAGGCAAGACCATGTTTGCCAGGTAGGATCACCTACTGACACTTTGTTTCTGTAATGGTATGTGGGAAAGACCTTGGGAGACAGGGAGAAGAGATGCTGCCCGGAGAACTATCAGATAAGAGACAGCATAGCCCACAGCTGCCTAATAGGTGGAGAAAGAGGCTCAGAAGGGACCCTCCCTAGTTTTTCAGGCTGTAAAGGAGATGGCAGGAGAATTGTAATTTCAGACTTGCAAGATTCTGCTAACGTAGCCTTACAATAAAGTAGAATTGGCTCATCTGGTCCTGTTTCCTGTCTGATCTACCTGGTAAGGCTGACAATTTCCATATAAGACATCTCATCCATCAGCAATTTTTATGGATGTGGCAGGGCATAATATCCACTGCCAGCTTCTCATTCGTTTCCGATTCAGGATGAATCCCTCCTCCCCCCTCAAAAGACATACCGCCTCGATGAAGAAATCTGGCATTCTCACCGTATTGTCAAAAGCGTTCAAGCTTTGTTAATAGGAAAAATGTCTGTTGGTAACACATCTAGCTGTTAGGTACACACTTCAGTGATGGAAGTTAAAACAACTTGAAAGTACAGTAAAAGGAGGGGAAGTTCATTACTAGTTCCATGTATTAGATTAGTTCTTATTTTAAAACCAGTCTTATTGTGCATGCTCTTTCCCAAAGACTGAATGCTTAGTAGACACCACTTGTAAAATTCAACCAGACTTCAACTTGGAAAGGACAAGAAGCCAATGTACATTCCCCTTTCCAATACAGTCTGGCTTACTAAGGCCTTCGGACTTCAGCGAACAGATTGGGAAGATGTATTTCAGCTACCTCAGCACCATTTTCTTTTGCTACTTTCCATGCAATAACTAGCTAGTTTTTTCTAATAGCCAGGAGTACCCTAGGAAGATCTACAACTCCAGGATAAGAAATCTGCTGCATAAGAATCATTCAGGAATGATCCAATCTATCAGACATATATTAAACATGGATTGTTGAATGACTTTTCAGTAGTCGGCAGTAAAAAAATAAAAGTTCTTGTAAATAAATAAATAAATAAATATTGGGGTTTTCCTTCCCAATGAAGCAGGCGAAGTCCGGCTGGATTTTTCCAAGTTGTTTATGAAGTGATATTTACTATGACATTGGTTAGATGAAGCTAGATTATTCTGCTTTTCAGTGCAAGCTACAGCAAGGCTGCTGCATCTTAGATCTATTTTAAGGGACACAAATTAAAAACAACACAAGAGTGTAAAACTAGAGAGACCGTCACCTTATTAAACAGACCATCAACCTGTAAGAAAATTAAGAGGGGAATATTTAAAATCAAAAAGCCACGAAATCAAGTTCAAGAAAAAGCAAAAGAAAAGGTAACATTAGGGGGAGAAAAGGAAGAGATCCACGTAGCTAGGAAGGAGAACTAGAAAGAGAGACATAATAACGTGAGCCTCTACAAAACCAGTATTTTACTCAATGTTTAGTGTCAATTTATAGACATGATCATAACAAGCTGATTTACTTTGCAGACCACCGTATTAAATGCCTTGCACTTTAGAGATTCAAAACTCTTCAGCTGCACTAACAAGTCTGGAAATTACATCATCAGAGTAGTCATGAGATGAAGATAGGAAAAATGACTTCGTGGTGATGATGCAACAGTGTTTTGGGATTACCTGATGCTTATGACAGATATAAATGCTGCATTTCTGAGAGGCAAAATTATTATTTCCAAGCCACTGAGACCCCATTCAGCTTCTCAACTTTTTAAAAAATAAACAAAATGGGTCCTAGCTCCATGCAGCTAACGGAGCCAGCGGATTTGCTGTTGAAATACTGTATGCCAGGCTGAGACCGATATTTAATTACAGATATTAACCAACCATCAATCCCCATCTCCAAAGAGCCATGCCATTTAAACAGCTTCGATGAAGCAAAGGATGAATCAGTGCCCTTTTTCCTACGGCACTCAAGATTTCTTTAAGTCATCCAGCAGCTTTTGACCAGTTTTTTTTTTTTTTTTAAATTGAGGAAACATTTTGCTTCGAGCAGAGTAAACTCATCTTTCTAGAGAAGCCGCACTTACTTTGGTAAGGTACTCTCTCGTCACCTGAATGAAGTAAGGCATTGCAAAGTCCATAATGTTGTGCCGCCATGCCAACTCCAGGACCACATCTGGATGCAACAAGTCATAACATGTGAAGAGAGAAGCTGCAAAACACTCCTTTTTGTCTTCTTCCAGAAACCACTGAAGTAGTTTCTCAGCCAGCTCAGCGTCTTTGGATTCTGCGGCATATTGCATGGCATCCTACGGAACATAATAAAATAAAATAAAATAAAATAAAATAAAATAAAATAAAATAAAATAAAATAAACCAACCCTAACCCAACGGGGTGCTTACCTTCACAGCTATAAAATAACTAATGCTGCCTGTCTGACATGGTACAGGTAGGTCACGATTAGTGACATTTCAAATAGTGCAAAATTCGATTTAGCGCAATCTATAAATGGACACCAGGTTGTGTGTAACACAAGCCAAAATTAAGTCAGCGTGAGGCTAGCTCATGCACGGTTGAGGCTAGCGTGCGTGCAGTGGTCATTGGGGTTTTAGACGCTAATTGTCGTGGGTGCAATGTGGAGAAAAGGAAGCTTGCGTTCGAGGAAAGCTCAAAAAAAAAGGGCTCCTTTTAAAGAACGACAGCAGAATACCGGCGATAGCAGGTTCGCTTTGCATACGGCTTTATCCTTTCCCTGTTATACAATATTTCATTAATAAACGTATACAAATTTACATTTAAAAATCTTCATTTTCTATTTTCGTCGAGCTGGCACCCATGACCTTACTTTCTATAGAAGTATCACTTCGAGCAGCGCAAATTAGAAGAACGCGACCACTTCGTGGGATTCATTAACTGCGCTAATCGAGACCTCCCTGTGTTAATGAAGGACCCACAGGTATGAAAATGCCAGACCACCTTCCTTTTGCAGGTCCGCTCCGGTGGAAAGGACTCCACCCTGTCCTGCCCCCCCCCCGATCCGCAGAAGGTCCTAACTGACCTTATAAAGCCGATCCTTCTTGCAAAGCTCCACGCTCTGTTTCCACCGGTTATTGCCTTTATACAAGTAAGCGGCGATCCGCCGGAACTCAATTAACTTGTGCTTTTCTAGACGCTGAGCCAAGGTAATGTTATCGAAGTTATCATAGGCATCAATGGATGCTCGCAAGCCCTATTAGGAGAAAGAAAGGGCCCACCAAGGAGTTAGAGGCCTTCCTGAAAAGAACCAGAGGCCCTGTTCTTCGTTTTTAAATTGTTATTAAATTTGTATGCCACCTGATTCCCAGGAACTCTGGATGGTTCACAAGTAAAAATGTTAAAAAATACACACAATCCAAAGATACACCTTTTTAAGAAGGAACTAGACAAATTTGCAGAACAGGTCATCAATGGCTGCTGGTCTTGATGGCTGTGTGGTACCTCCTGAATTACAGACCAAATACCAGTTACTGGCATGGAAAAGGGCAGCCAAACGCCAATCTATGCTTATGAGTTTCCCCAAGGCATCCAACTGGCTGCTATGTTCTGCAGGAGGATGGGTAAGATGGACCACTGGCCTCATCCAATAACTTTTCTTATCTTCTTAAGATGAGTTGCTAACGCTGTAGTTGGGTAGGATGAGAGGCCACAGCAACAACTCTAAAGCAGTTACAATTCAATCTTGTAGAAATAGTTATGGGGACCAATGAACTGCTTAAATGTGCTTGTTGTTTGGAGAAAGACGGACCCCAAAACAATTTTAACTGGTGCCTTCTAGGTCTGCTGAAATTACAACTCCCAGAATTCCATTCAAAATGGGGTCATTGCCTATGAATTCTACCAACTGTAATTCCAACATATCTGGATGACTCCAGCTGATTAAGGGAGTCTCGACGCATCTATGGGATCCACCAAACAAGAGCAGAGGACACATTTCGTACATTTTGGCTTCACCTCTGCAGACATTGTGTATGCTGGAACAAGCTGTGAATCAGGTGGTCATTTGACATCCATATTTTATTCACACTGCTGTGGGTCTATCCTACAACTCTACCTCCAAAACTCACTTGGTAATCTTCCTCCTCTGTCAGAAGATTGTTCAGTGCCTCGTTCACTCCTTTATTATTGTGGTTCTGGACTGAACGCAAATAAGGTTTCACAAGAGGTAGCTGATTAACCTATGGAACAAGGCAAACATTTAAGGCAAAAAAAAAAATTATTTGGTAGGTGTTCACCCAGGTTCACCATTCAAACAAGTGCAAACCTAATGATGGAAGCTTGCCTTCTCCCGAAAACAATCTTCCAGTATAAAATGCATGTAAAACATCTGGAAAATAACTCCTCAAAACACCTGAGCCCACTTACACAAACGGAAGCAATAAATCTGAAAACTGAAAACCTTCCTTTCGCCCTTTTGCCTTGGAACATTCCATCTGAACTCAGTATTGGTCAATTCTTTCTAGGAGTGGGTCTTTAAGTCACCTTGGAGAAAAAGCTGACTGTCCTGGTGTGATCCAGCCGTGGAGATAATACTAGGAGGAGATCATTGATCAGCAATGGTTTGTAATCCAAATAAAACTGCAGGGCTTTGTAATACAACTCCACGTTGGCAACCTAGAGAGTAAGAGTGAGTTGAGAAAACTGTTAGCCTCTTAAATGATCCATTAAATTTAACAACCCAATGTTGAAGACCCTTTTCAAAGACTCATTCATGAAGAACAGAGTAATAAATAACTAGCAGCCACAATGGCTATGTTTGCCAAATACATCTCAATACCAGCTTCTGGGGAATGTAACTGGAAGAGCAGGAATGTCCTTGTGTCAGTCTTGAAGCTCCTCCAAGACAACTTCAGCTGGTATAACAGGGAAGAAGTCACGCCAAGGAGCATTAACATTACAACTGTTCACCTTTGCAATGATGTCCTTGAACTGCCCTTCCTTCCAAGCATCTGTGGGATGGTTCATCATAGTAATTATTGCATTGTCATATTCTTCATATTTATCATAGAGGAACACCAGTTCTCCCCAGAGATGGGCGTGTTCTGCCGCCCGAAGTACCTTAAAAACATTGGAGGATGTGAACGTCAACAGTGAAAGGAAGAAAAGAGTCCAAGGTACAATATTGGCCCCAATATGTTACTGGTACCCAATCTATTTCTAGGAGGAACCCAAGAGCATTGAGGTTGGGCTGGGATCAGCCTGTTTAAAAGACTACTTTCTTGTCTGTCTGTCTGTCTTGTCTATCTATTTACATCTGCCACAGCTGCAAGACCTTTGGTGTTTTACAATCACAAGGAATGCAAACGTGGAAACAAAATCTCAGCGGTAGGAACTGAAATGAGTAACACTCTAAAAACCATAATCCTAAAATTAATCAAACTGGGCATCCAATCACTCACCATAGGCCCTCTGGAACAACTCTGTTTTCAGGAGTTTCCAGATGGCTAGGACCGTAGGGGTTAACCTAGTTCCTAAGGGTGGTGGGGGGATGCGTGCCATAAAATAGGCACTGCTATTGAGAAGCACAACTAAGAAGCCTCCATTTGTACCTTGCAGAGGTGGGGGACCTTGAGAGTTTGTCCCAGAATGCACAAGTCAGGCAGCTTGATTCCAACTGCAGGAGGCAGTCTTGCCGGTACCATGGTGCCAAGCCACGTATGGCATTTATAGACAATATTCTGCATTTTGTATTGCACCCAGAAGCTAACAGGAAGCCAGTGCAGGGCCCAGAGCCGACGAATAATATTGCTGGTCCCTTGCATTCTAGACACGTGCACTCAATGGCTCTCGGGTTGTGTGTGTGGCGGGTGGGGGGAACCTACGGCCTTCCAGGTGTTGCTAAAGTAGTCGTATGGCCAATGATGATG